GAATAGCGCAATAGGGTGAATAGGTGAATAAATGGTATTTCTGTGTCTTTATGACAGCTTGGTTATTTGGTTATTTCGGTGTCTTCTGTCTGAATGAATGTTCGAAATAGGGTAGTTTTCTTATCCGCATCAGTTTGGAAATCTTTCAAAGTGCAGGCATGCCAGCACTCAACAACTCAGCCAGAAATGGCTAATTCGTTTGGTAAGAAAATTGTTGTCTCATTTCCTGGTAGTAATTGTTTCGAGGGCTCGTTCTCATGCAGGCAATTGGCCAAACAAAATACTCGGCCCAATCGATTCAGTCAACCCAAAATTCCCTCTTCCAGGGGCTGTAGCCGTTTGCTTTTCTTCAAAGCGATCCAAAGTACCACTTACATCTGCGGCTGTGATAATCCCAAAAGCCGCATGTGAGCGATACGCCTCGATTATGTCCGAAGTCCAGAACATGCTTGAGGTACGTACCATCTTATCTTTACTTCTTGACTGTTGGTTATTCGTATATTTCGTTATCTTTTTTGTTATTAACTCCTATTCGTTCGTCGGGGTTTTCTAACTTCCTTATGCGAAATTCCCTTCAGCAGTATATCTGCATATCTGATGCTCGGTCAGTATCGATACTGATACCGATATCGGTGTTTTTTTTACCATACCTAAATTTTTGTCGCCATTGGGGTTTCAAAACTAAGCTTCTTCGAAATCTCTATGATTTTTTTTGTCTCCGAAATTATATTTTCGGCCTCTTCAAACATTTGCACATAAAAAGCATAAAGGCGACTAACTTTCGCCCATGTTCGGTGGTAACAGATCAGAATGAAACATTATTTTGGATGGAATAGCATAGTACCTGATCGGCTATTAAGAATCCGATGCATAGAACTCAAAGCCGCGTCAAAATCACCTAACTTGAGGAAGGTTGGTTGTTGGTGGTTGTCAAGACGTTTGAAGGTCCACTAAAATGGGCAATGTTGATAAATACACCCTTGACTCTTCTGAACGGCATGTGGTTTCGTGTGCGAGTGTCGAGCTAAAGACGAGTGCGGCCGATGGACGTCTGCAAACACATCTTAGGTAAATTCCAATAGAGTTATGCCACATCTTTTCTTACATAGTAATCTGTCCTCATTTCTGCGTATCGATACTAGGATCACCAGAATAGTATGCATTTATAAAACTGGCTTAATACTTAGTTATTACCTTTCAACGCTTTTTGCTGTTTTTTGAATGTAAGCCTTCTCATTTTTTTGTTTTTAAGTTTTTTTATCGCCTCACCGATCTACGTAGACCGTGGGCTGCGGTTACAACTATTTCAAGCGCCCAGACGTCTTTAAATTTTACGAGTTTGGTGAAGGCTCTGCTGGGTCTTGAAGCACGTTCAAAATCCTTGTCGATCTTACTCTAGAGTTCTTCGCGCTCATACCGTATATAGCGCGTTATTTCACGGTGTATGTCCCAGAAGTTCCGATAGCCACTTAAGCAGATGGCCCTTGCATTATCACTCAGTTCCACCCTATGTGACGATGTCTGTTGCAGAATGCTATTACCGAGCTGGTACTATAGGCAGTATACTTCTGTTTAAGCTACAGAAGTATTTTCGAGTTGGTCAGTGTCGGGTTTCATCATTAATAATAATAACATGTTCCCTAAGCCGTAGCACAGTTCTCAACAAAACGTGATCGGAAATATTTTAAATGTCTGTACCAGCGCCGTAAATTATGCAGAAGTTTACCGTTGAGATCGTCTAATATACTAGTGTGTCTGATTGATTGATTTTTTGCACGATTATCTAAAACTTGGGTGGCTATGTCCCCTAGCGTTCTATAGTGGGTGTTTATGAGGACAGGGCCGTTCAGCACAGACATTTGATGATCATTCGCGCAACATTTCCCACTTCCGAGTAGATAGCTGTTCACTCCGCAGATACCTCACATTTCTGCCCCCTGACACCCCAGTCACCTGTATTGATAAATTATTATATTGGAGCACGCCCGTCCGTGGTTTTTAGCATAAGTCGTGGTCTCGTGCATAATCAACATCTAGTTCCAGTTAGCTATGAAGTCGAAATTGGCGTGACGGAAACGCATATGGGCAATTTCTGGTCTGATCACTGACCGACTGCGAAATCGTCTTAGTCAGCGCTGCCGGTGATGAAGTTGTTAGAAGTTCTCGGCGCCTGG